CTCCATTCTTTTGTTATGTATATGTGAGGATAAACATGATATATCGTACAGGGGCAGCACCTGGGAAGGAAATAAATATGATCGAGTATAGAACAGGAAGTAATTTTTTTTTCTTCAGCTATTGGCACACTTCAATTTGTTTGGGCTCTCGGAGAGATGTTGGTTATTGAGAGGAATATTAACGGTTTAAGATGAGGGTGAAGGAGGTGTTGTTGAGAAAGTGGTTGTGTAAACATCATTAGTTGTGACAAATTGTTCGTGCCTGGGTGTTTGAGGAATTATTGCCTGCGAAGTTGGTGTTCCCCGGAGCACTCCCTCCCCCCCCCCTCCCCGTGCAAGAGACAAGAATAGCGTGTCTAATGGGCAGATTGAGGTTGATGGATTACTGTAAGATAAACAGATAAACAAAAGGGTAGAAGTGACTGCAGTAAATATTGATTTGATTTACAAGTAAGTTATATGTTATCTATATACCAGGTTATCCATATATACCGGGTCATCGAAAAAGAATACCCGGATTTTAATATCTGTTAATATCTGGGTATTCTTTTTCGATGACCCTGTAAATCACATGACAGAAGCTATGGGTGTCACTCGAGCCCTAGAACAGTCATTAGTGATGGGAAAGTCGTAAGTATTACCCATCTCTCACAACAGTGCTGGTAGGAAACATGGAGAGAAAGGGGTAACTTCTTGGAGAGAGGAGTAGAGGGACTTGTGAAGAGACTCTGATGTCAAACTTTGACCGGAAGGTTTTCAGATATCCAAAGCAAAGAAAGAGATTCGCCAAAGTTATCGAGAGCAGAATAAAACTTGTGCGTGGAGAGAGAGATAGATGTGGATGACGATAACCTATATTGAATGGCACTGATCTTAGAGTAGTCTCAGGAGTTTTAATTGAACCTTTCAGACAGATATCCCAACATCATTTATTCCAGAGATGAAAGTTATATGTCTTTTGTTCAGTACAAAGAAAAATAATCATATTTTATGTACGAGTTATATATACTGCAGTAGTAGGGAAGTGAAGTGTGGGAGATCTAACGGTCTTAACAGCTGGTATTGACAGGCTGGTTTCTTTTTGATGGTGGTGTGTTTGTTTGGGTTTCTATTATGATGAATGAACCATTTGTGTGTTATTGCTGTATGTTTGATGGTTTTCTCTGTTTTATTTATTTATATTTGATATCAAGCCTGTAGGTTATTTTGTGTTTTTTTTGTATCGTGGAAGACCCTGTTAGTCCATCAAGTTTTGTTGTATTTACGTGCCGGTGTACTGCTGGAGCCACGAAGCCCTCTAATGGTCTACGGTCCTCCTCTTACCCGGTAAACAGACCCCTTACACACCTGCCATTATTGGTCCCGGGGATCATCTTAGCACAACCATATAAACGATAACACGAATTCTCAAAAAAAAAATAAACTTAGTAGACCATCTTAGCCGGGGGGTGAGTAGAGGCAGGTCGTTACTGTAGTCTCAGTACAATTTGGATGCTACTCAGACTGTTATCATCTGTGGTGGCCTATTAGATACGTCTCATGTATCACCGCTTATAGTGACAATACAAGTAGATTGTCTCATAATTTGGAACACCATCGAGTGGCTGTTGCTACTGCTGCGTCTTGTTGATGTTCTTAGTATGTAAACAGACATTATGAACGTGGCGTTAGGTGACGGCTGAGACAGGGACGAGGTCGCTATCTAGGAAAACATTGCAAGGAGGTACAGTACAGTATGCTAGACGGCGGCGTAACAACCCTTTTTATACGTTGTCAGGTACGCTGGCATGCCACTCCCATCTTGCCATGTGCATACTATTCGAGCTTGTCATTCCATTTGTTGTTCAGTTTACTGTTGTCATGCCTTTCAACCTGTCTAGTATTACTTGATGTTGGCATGTTATTTACTGTTTAGTTAATGCACTGTGTTTGTACCTTCGTGTCACACACACACACACACACACAACACACACACACACACATACACACGCCATAGGAATTCACACCGTTATCATCTCACTCACTGTTGTTATGGCAAATTTACCGTTAACAGTAGATTCCCCATTAACAATAGAGTCCCTGTTAGCAATAGACTAACCGCTAACAAATTAATCTTAATAATGGGCTTTGCATTCCCAGTAGTCTCCCGTTAACAACATAGACTCTCACTAACAGTAATCACCACTAATCACTGCATCTCTGTTAGCAGTAAAGACTTCTGCTGACAACAGACTCGACGTTAACAGCTAACTCACCATTATTAATGTCACCGTTACCATTAGCCTCCCCTTACTATTAAACAACGTTAACAGTAAACTTATACACACTAATAATCTTACCGTTAGCAATAAAAAATCCCATTAACAGTAAAGACCCATTAATAGTTAAGACTCATTTTACCGTTACCAGCAGTATTCGTTTACAATAGACTCAACCTTACGGCAGAGACTCCCATTATCAGTAAAACCTCCCTTTAACAGCGAAGACTCCCGCTAAGAGCTAAGACTCCCGCTAAGAGCTAAGACTCCTGCTGACAGTAAAGACCCCCAAATGATAATAGCCATACCGTTACCAGTAGACACTTCCGTTAATAGTAGACTCACCGTTAAGGACGTGGAGGTTAATGGAGGCGTTCTCACCGTTGGAGGGACTGCAGGTGTACTTGCCGGAGTCACCTGGCCCAGCCTCCTTCACCAGTAGGTGACTGACGGTGTCTCGCCCTGTCTGAGTATTGACCGTGACTCCTCCTCGACCATCATAGTCTATCACCTGGGAGGGAGACAGAGTTAGTGATGGTGAGAGGGAGAGAGAGAGAGGGAGAGGGGGGGAGGGAGTATTAATGTATGAGAGAGAGAGAGAGAGATAATGATGGTGAGAGAATAAGAGAGAGAGAGAATTGGCGATGTGCGAGAGAGAGAGATTAGCACCCTATTTGGACAGCCAGGGCTCCTCAGCATTCACAATTCCGTCACCTGTTGCTTGAAGGAAGATAATTTTGAGAAATAAACTGAGAGAGGTTGAGAGAAAGTGTGTGTGTGTATGTGTGTGTGTGTGTGTGTGTGTGTGTGTGTGTGTGTGTGTGTGTGTGCGTGTGTGTGTGTGCGCGAAAGACAAATTGGGAGAAAAAAAGAGAGAAAGAGGGGAAGAGATTGGAGTACGGAGTAGAGTTGCGGGTTCATAATAATAATAATAATAATAATAATAATAATAATAATAATAATAATAATAATAATAACATCAATGATAAAGGTATTGCTATTCGTGTTAGTCTTATCAGAACGTGAATATAACAGCAACAACAACAATAATAATAACAATAACTGTCTCAGTCATGATAAATACTAAAAGTTTATCTTAGAAATGCAGTCAAACATAAAATAGCAATACACCCACACGTAAGACTGTCAGCACTGCACAGAGCACAGACAGACGTGATGAACCTGCACTGATATCAACCATGTTATTATGACAGAGTTTGTGACGCATGTGGAGTGGGGAAGAGGGGAGGTAATGGGAATGAGAGAAGGGAGGGAGGAAGAGGAAAAAGAGTGATGAGTGAGAGATGGGAGTAAAGAGAATGGAGAGAGGGCTGGGGAGGAGGAGGAAGGAGAGAGGGCTGGGGAGTAGGAGGAAGGAGAGTGGGGCTGGGGAAGGAGGAGGAAAGAGAGAGGGCTGGGGAGTTGGAGGAAGGAGAGAGGGCTGGTGATGAGAAGGATGGGGAGTTAATACAGTATTAACTGGAAGCATAGTGGTAGGATCGCTTGAAGCTTATTCCCAACTTATTTCACCTTAAGATTAACCTAACCAAACCTACCCCCCCCCAGGTTGCGTTAGGGTGGTTACTCATCAGGTGAAATAATCTGGGTCGAAATTTAACGCAACACCGCGAGGGCAGAACATGGAGCGAATTTGAGCTAATTTGTCAAATAATGTAGTGTACATATTTGGGAGGGTTTAAATATACCTGTTGATTATCCCCACGGGAGACCTGGGGAGAGTAGAGCCGTCATTTTTGTCCAGAGAGCGAAAAACGTTTACAACGCGTTATGGACGTTTTCAAAATAACCAGAAAATGGAATTTTGCTATTTGCATATTACCAAAACCTAACCTAACCTAACCAAACCAAGGTTTTTGAGCCTTACATATATACAGGGTGGGACAAAAGTCACCCTACATTTAAATAGTGAATTTACCTCATCTATTGTTTAACTTATATAGTTGTTTAGTTAAATATATTTACTCTTGTTTATTCAATTATGTGTATGTCCCTTTTTTAATGTTACGAACATTATATTTTGCTTTAGTTTCCTTATATTGTTGGAAGCGTGTAACTCTTAAATGGTTTTCCTCCACTCTGTGCCTGTATATATTCAGCGTGGCAGTATATACTCCAGGAGATGCTCAGGAAGAAGTCAAAGTCAAAGTATTGAAAACATAAAGGCGCCACCTTGCGTGAGTAAATTGACTTTACACTTGAGTGCCGAGTGGATGAAGATGGTGAATAGGGAACAAGATGAATCAAATCGGGAAGAGGAGGTTCCAAATTGGGAAGAGGAAGTACCAAATCGGGAAGATAAGGTGCCTAATCGGAAAGAGGAGGTGTTTAATCGAGAAGGGGATATATTACTGAATAGTTCATTTAGCAGTGATTGTAAAGTCGATGTAGAAATATTAAGTGCAATGACGATGTGAGAGAGAGAGAGAGAGAGAGAGAGAGAGAGAGAGAGAGAGCATGAAGTGGGCTAGGCAGTTTGGCGGCAGTAAGGAGGAATTTCCAGAATCTCTCATATTTTCAGAGCAGTGACAAAGATGCGGTAGGGATCGTGCATACCGGAGGCGAGGAGGGATAGAGGAGCTTATCCAGAGATGGGAGAGGAGGATAGAATTAAAGAGAGACGATGATAAGTGTTAGGGAGCTGGGCTTTATAAAGATCAGGTGCAAAGTTTTGTTGGATTACCTGAACATTAGTCTCCTCACCCCCCAGCCAAGCTTATTTTCTCTCATGATTAAACCACCCTAATGCTACCTAGAGGGTTAGGTTAGGTTAGGTTAGGTTAGGTTAGGTTAGGTTAAGCAAAATTGGGTTAGCTTAAGGTAGGTTAGGTTAAGTCAGGTTAGGTTAAGTTAGGTTAGGTTAAGTCAGGTTAGGTTAAGTTAGGTTAGGTTAGGTTAGGATAGGTTAAGCAATGTAAAATTGGGTTAGCTTAAGGTAGTCAGGTTAGGTTAGGTTAGGTTAGGTTAAGTTTGGTAAAATAACATTTAGTTGAGGTTAGGTCGGTATTAGTCTTCCAAAGTCACTAAACATAACCACTTCACAATAAAGAACTTAACTCTATTTACCGGGACTAAATTCACCACGAGTAAATTTATCTACACCAGCAACTCTCTATACAAGTTTGTCACTGACTCGCTTTGTGACGGAGTAAACTGAGTGTGTGATATTCTTACGTTTTTCAAGAGATGTGAGAGATAGTGAAAATAGAGAGAGAGCGGCGGGAACTGAGTATTAAGAGAGAGAAGGGAGAGATGCGAGATGTTGAGAGATGGAAGGGAGAGCTGCGAGATGTTGAGAGATGGAAGGGAGAGATGCGAGATGTTGAGAGATGGAAGGGAGAGATGCTAGATGTTGAGAGATGGAAGGGAGAGATGCGAGATGTTGAGAGATGGAAGGGAGAGATGCGAGATGTTGAGAGATGGAAGGGAGAGATGCTAGATGTTGAGAGATGGAAGGGAGAGATGCGAGATGTTGAGAGATGGAAGGGAGAGATGCTAGATGTTGAGAGATGGAAGGGAGAGATGCTGGATGTTGAGAGATGGAAGGGAGAGATGCTGGATGTTGAGAGATGGAAGGCAGATATATTAAGTGTTGAGAGAGTAGATGCCACGAGATATACATAAATAACACTTTTGGGGAACGAAAGATGATTAACTTTGTGATATAGAAGAAAATGTTTAATAAATATGAATATGAAAAGAGAAGATGGGAGATGGTGAGTGACACAGGAGAAAGAAGGGGAGAAAGAGGGAGAGAGAGGAAAGCAATAAAGGAGGAAAAGCGATAATAACATATCAAAAGAGAGATGAGAAAGGGAGAGATCGACAGTAACGAGATGTGACATAAGAGAAAATTGAATAAAAAGTTTGGAAGTCGCGGAGGACGACACACAGGGTACCATGATAAAGAGTGGGAGGGAAACGTGGAGGAGAGCTAGTAAGGGAAAATATAGTACGAACATTTATATATATATATATATATATATATATATATATATATATATATATATATATATATATATATATATATATATATATATATATATATATATATATATATATGTGTGTGTGTGTGTGTGTGTGTGTGTTCGTTACCCGCATGGACGACAGTAGACTGCCAAAGCAGCTACTTTACAGTCATCTTACGAATAGTAAACAAAACGACGGTGGGCTATTGAAAAGGTAGAAGGATAGTCTTAAGACAAACCTGAAAAAGTGCCAAATCGACCCACTCACCTGGGAGTCGATTACTCCACATCGTAACGCTTGGAGGAGCATCACACGAGGTGTCAATACTTTCGAGTTAGCCCGAACTACAAACCGAGTCAGACAAGCGCCAAAGCCGGAAAGACGCTGCCGTCGCCCCTCCCATAGTAGATGGAGCCCTCCACATGTGCAACGAATGTGAACGACGCTGCGGGTCCCGTATCGGCCTCTTTAGTCACCTCAAAAGTCACCAACCTAGGTGACATCTCTAATAACTCATATCATTGTATCATTGCTGGATGATCGTCATACTTGATTTCGAGTGACAGCAAAGTAGTAGTATTGATTTTGATTTTGCCGCTTACAGCGGCTCCTTTATTGTTCACCCCACACTCATCCTGAAAGCGGTAGCGCAAAAGGATTACAGAGTAGAGTTTACAACGGGTCATAATGATTAACTCCCGTGGTAAGGATAGTATGGCACTGAATGTTACACAGTATTTCAATTTAGATTATTTGTTTAGTTTTGTACATAAAGGGTAACTTATTCACAAATGCGTGAGTACAGGCGTGTGAGGCAGTATGTCTGGCCTCACACTTTGTTATTCACATTTGCGTGAGAAATATTCAAGCACATTGAGTATTTGGTTCTACACATGAAAACTGATATAGTTACTAAGTGCAAAAAAGTAGATACAATCTTGTGATCTTGTTACTTGCTCCACATACATGTTTCAATTGATACATCTCATCATGGTAAACTATGGATCGACTAGTGCCTGTTTGCACTTGTCTACTTGCGTCAAATTCATCAATAAGTTCTTTCCTAATTACAATTTTAAGGTTTTTTTTTTTTGACAGACCCAAATTGTATTCAACGGTGTCTTTGTTAGACGCGAGTTTGGCGAGGGCATCAACTGTCATGTTTTATGAGGCCTACTGTATGTGAGAGGGGATCCACAAAAGTTTGACCTTGACAACCCGGTCAACAAGGTACGCAAACGCATATTTGTGTCTGGCTTCAGAGACAAGCGCGTGACAACTTGAGTGTCAAGGGCAAGTAGTGAGGATAGAGAGTCAGTGATGATGAGAATGTCAGCAACAATGGTTTCAATGAATTTAATAGCTGTGAGTATGGCAATTAATTCAGTTTGTAGAGTGGATGCCCAGTTGTTAATTCTAACTCCTTTCTCAATTATATTGCCGTCAGGTTGAGTCACAACAATAGCACTTCCAGCCCTCCCACAGGCTGTGTTAAGAGATCCATCAGTGTAGATGGTCTGTGTG